ACTACATAAGGTCCCCAGAGTCCCACCAGGAATGACCCCTGAGTACAGAGGCAGGAGCAAGTCCTGAGAACTGCTGGGTGTAAAGTCCCACCTAACAAAGTGTCTGTGTGGTAACTGAATCTTATTCAAGTATAACCCACTGTAGTATGTGCCAGTGGCAACCTGTTTTAAACTATACCCTAAATCGGACCTTTCCAAAGCAACAACCTCGATGCCTACTTACTGACCTGCCTGGGTTTCATTGATTTTGACATCAACAGGCATGCGTGCAAATATCTTAATGTCTTAATATCTTTTCCTTCAGTCATCCCCTCTCAATTCCCCCCCCACAACGGAAAAGCTGGAAACATCATTACTCAGAATCATTTGGCCTCATTTTAGCCTCTAGTCAAGTAACCTTATTGGCAGGGGTGGACAGGGGAGATACTGGCCCTCTCAGGCAGACTCTGGACCATTCAGCCTGGAAAGGTCAGGCCTCCCCCAGCCAGACCCAGCTCTTCTTCCTTCTGATGCACAAGAGCGTTGTAGGTGCTGGAGAGCAACTGAACCCAAGCCCAAACCCAAACCCTGGGCATCTGTTTGACTCCCAGGCAGACAGGGAAACCTTTTTGAGAGAACAGGGAGAGGTTCTCCCGAGGAGCCCCTGCCCACTCAAGGGGGGGGGGGGGTGGAGGGGTCTCTGACCCTTTTCTTTTTATTGTTTTTAACAGAGATGTGCCATTTCTATTTTTATTTCATTTTTAGTTAGACACCCTGATTTATAAAAGGTGTTTATAACAGGGTTTCTGCCCTTTTTTGCACACCCTAAAACAACCTGAGAGAGCCTCCACACATCCCTATAAAACAATTGCTTACAAATAATAAGAGTTCTGTTTATATTGATTTTTTTTTACACAGCGTTGGGGATGCTTTCTTTCCTGCAGTGCTCAAGCTGCCTGTTGGCCTGTTGCTGAAGGTTCTCAGCTAATGTGGTTGTAGTTGGATACTTGGATAATTCCTGCAGTGCTGGCATTATCTGGGCCACCCCGGCAGTTCTCAGGGGTCTAAAGAGCGACACCCAATGGAGACCAGAACCAGGCTGGCCTCTGCAACAGGTGATGCTCAGAGGCCATATAGAGTTGGGGATGGAACCCCAGTGCACCCTAACTGCAGTAGTATCTCTGTGTCCCCAAAGAACAGTTGGTGAACCCCCAAACAACTGTTGTTAAACTCTTGCCCAGCCCATTGTACAGTGCCTGTCCTTAGACAGGGCTTGAATTGCCTCTGTAAAGGATGAAGGAAGTAGCCATGCAAAAGAGAAATGAGAAGTAGGAGATATTCTGCCTCCCAGGGCAAATTCTGGCTTGGGCTTTTGCAGTTATCCCTATAGCTAGGGCTAAACTCAGACTGCTGAATAATGTGAAGAGACACATTAAAAAATGGGCCCCTTAAGATGCACAGAGAGTAGGGCATTTGCCTTGCTCCCGGGTGAGCAGGGTCGGGTCCCTGGCAGGCCACACACACCCCTGAAATTATTTAAAAAATAAAAACGGAAGAGAGGATCTGATTTGTGCAATTAAAAGTGGGCTGAAGCTTCTTAGAGGAATGACAGGCCACAGTGTTATGGAATGGTCCATGGTGATATTGCTCATGTAAGTAAAATGACTGCTAAAAAGGGTAGGCACTTTCCACCCCAGAAGCAGCCAAATAATTAATTATTTGACTCCTAGTAGTCCTCTTTCCGTATTTCCATGAGGACTTTTACAATGAGAGTATCAAACAAATTGATTTCCCTATTGACTTTATGAGAAAATTATCAAATACCCCTAAATCTTCCCTTAAATCCCCCCAAGTGCCTACAAGTATCTCCCCCTTTCCTGATGCTCTTTGTTGCAGCATTTGATAATTGCTGTTGTAAATAGGGCAAAAATTATAAGGGAGATATGAATATAATATAATAGCATAGTAAACACAGTTGTATATGATTAATTATCACATTGCCCCCTTTTCTTGATTTTATATTCATGTTGAAAGCTCTTAACTGTGCATGTATAATTGATTCACTATGGTATATGTGGTTGTTTAAATAAGAAGCTTCAATTGAGGTTTTTGTTCATTATAATTCCCTTCTTACACCATGTCTTAAGGAGAATCAAACTTAATGTCTGTCCTATCATTTCTGGAACTACGTTCTGTTAGAGGTAAACTCACTCACTGCCTTTTATAGCTACAGTAATGGAAGTTGAGCCAGAATTTCTTTCTTCCTTTCCTTGTTTTTCCTGTTTCCTTGATTTTTCCCAGATGCTCTTTCTATAGAATAAATTTGTTCCATTCAATGGCTTGGGTACTCAGAGTCCCAGAGTTTTGTAGTTGTAATGGTCTATTTTAATGCAAACATACTCTTGTGATTGCACTTTCTTTTCTCAACCCCAGAGCAAATCTGAGAATCGTTTTAGTAACCTGTGGGATCCCTAATCTTTAGAACTCTGCAGGATTTGACTTGTGAATGAAGGAAGGGAGCTGTTCAGTGTTTGCCTTGGCGTGTTCTGAGTGGCTAAATTAACTGCGTGCCTGCACCTTCTTCCACATGGCGAACGTTGGTCAAAGGAAAATAGAGGATGAGGTGGAACACAAACCTTTGCAGACGTAGTGAGCTTGCTGTGATCAGCAGAGGACTTTTAACACCTCACACACATTACGCAGGCACACACAGCAGCCGTGTCCCTTTGGATGAGTCAGCATGCTGTTTCTGAGATCATTGTAAAGCCAGAACTCCCAGGTCCCCATCTGTCCTCAGGAACTTCCTTTTAGCTCCTTTGCATACCCATCATGCCTTTGGTTCCATCTTACCCCTCTTCTGTAGTCACCTGTAAAAGCATGCCTTCCCCCCACCCCCATCCGCTAACAGGTTGAACAGGTTATTTCATTCCTTGGCTTCCTCTTTATCTCCCCCACATCCTCTTTTGTGCCCCAGGAACAGGTAAATAAACCACCAGGTAATTACAGCTCATCCTTTTCACCTTAAAACTTTGTCAAAGCATGCTAAAGTAGTGGTGCAGAGATAGGAGTAAGCCCTGAACACCATTAGGTATGGCCCCCAAAGTAAAAAAAAAAAAAGTAATAATAATAATTAAATAATCAGCAGAATAAGACAATTAGTAAAGGGTATTATTAATTCATCAAACTTCAAAATAAAAAAATTATTTCTTTTTGATTTCTTTAGGGAGAGGCACTTTGCGGGTGACTCAGTGCAGAGGTGGTTCTTAGATCTGTTTTTATTACTCTGACCTGGGGGCAGGGCAGGGCTGGGGAGAAATTTGGGAGATTTGGTTTACTAGACAGGATAGCCCATTGAGATTATCTTATAGAACGCGTTAATAGGCAGCTCCTTCTAAAACAAATCCTCCTACCAAGAAAAGCTGCTTCTTGAGAAGCACCGAGAGCACACATGTTCAACCTCTGCCCAGGGCTGGTTTCGCATAGTCCCACAAGTGATTATCTCAAACCTGAAACTCTTATCGAAGATGACCAACCACTTGGGCCAGATGGCTGCAAGTCCATTTGTTTAAGCCTCAAATGTGTTCACAAGAGAAATCAGAAGTGAGCAGTGTTCTAGAAGACAGAAGGTCAAAGCGTGAGAAGCAGATGATGTCATGATGTCACAAAGGTGGTGGTGGGGAGTGGGGGTGGGGTATAGCCATTTTGTATTAGACCCTTGCTTTTGTTTTCCTTTTTTATAAAACATTTCTTCAGCTTATAGATAGTAGGTAGAGTTCACGCCCCTCCCCGCCAACTCACCCCTGTCAAACCTAGGCCTTTAATGAGCATTGGTAAAGAATTTGAAATTCAGCAATGGGATATGGTCTATCTCATATATATATATATATATATATGTATTTATATATGTATATATATAAACACATACATACATACATATTTTTTGTAGTGCAGAGTGTGTGGATCTGTCTTTGGGACCTCTGGCAAGAAAAGCCAGGTTGCATGTGTGACTCCAAAAATCAAACATTCCCCCTCAATCTCCTACACTGCCAAAGTCTCTCTCTTCATAGTGGTGCTCATACATGCAGGTGCACAGCCCACCCACAGACTTAGGTACCCCCTTGGCTCCAGTATGAGACTCTGTTTACAAGAGGGTTCCCCAGTCACTGACCGATAGTGGAGGAAGACTACAAATGTGGGTCCTTCAGTATCTTAGGAAAGATACTGAACACCCCAACCCGACTTCTAAAGGTTGCTGGTTCTTGGGGCTGGAGAGATAGCACAGCGGGTAGGGCATTTGCCTTGCACGTGGCCAACCCGGTTCGATTCCCAGCATCCCATATGGTCCCCTGAGCACCGCCAGGAGTAACTCCTGAGTGCAGAGCCAGGAGTAACCCCTGTGCATCGCCAGGTGTGACCCAAAAAGCAAAAAATAAATAAAAATTAAAAAAATAAAGGTTGCTGGTTCTAGGTGGTTTTCCACCCCCTCTTGCTGGGGGACCCCTGAATCCCTTCTCTGCCGACTTTGAACTACAGAGACATGGGAGCATCTTCTGATTTGTTTTCTTCCATCTTTTTTGCAGCTACATAGTAGTGTCCAAAGCAAGGTTGCAACATGAACTTCTTTCCTCCCCTTTCTCCCTAATTCTTTTCTCCTTGTGCTCCGAAGACTAGGCGAGTTCTTCCCAGAGCTCATGTTTAACCCCAAAAGTATGCTCTGCAAATGTCCTGCATGATCTCATTTGGAGGACGGAAGAGGAAAAGAGCTCAGCTGAGCCCCCCATTTGACATGGTTTACCCCAGCTGTCTTTAGAAGTCAGCTCCCAACCCCCCCCCCACCCTCCCCCTCCCGTCCTTCTGACTGCCTAAAATGCCCCTTCTCACCCCATCCCTTGGCTAGCCGCAGTGTTGGCACATTTCCTCATTAATCAGCTGCGTGGGCTCGGAGACTTGTGTGTTTTGGTGTTGTTTGCGTGTGCAATCTCGTGCTGCTTCCTGAACGCATGTGTCCCTTCCCTTCACAGCCTACTCGACACCCAGCACCTCCCCCGCAAACCGATTCGTCAGTGTTGGACCACGGGATCCAAGCTTTGTAAATATCCCGCAACAGACACAGGTGGGCCGCTCTCATCTTTTCTGTATGTGGTGCCGCTTGTTTTATCCATCAGGTGCCTCGGAGCTCGTCTTTGCGCACGACAGTCTGCATCTCCCCGCCAGCCCCTGTTTGGTCCCCTTTCCTCCCGACCCCGCCTGCGTCCCCGGCCCCTCAAGGGTCCTGTTTAAGGGTCCTCCGAAATCCTGGAAAACCTCGCCTGCCGTGTGTGCTTCTCGTACTGAGGGGGCAGAAGAGGAGGGCGTCAGAGCAGACCTGCTTGAGCTCGGCTGTGTGTGCGTGTTACTTCCTCCAGGATTTCAGGTCACTCCGTTCTCCATGGGCCAAGACTTCCTGAGGGTGCCCCCAAGTTCCTGGAGTGCCAGTGACATCAAAATGTACTTGCTGAACATGGTGTGGTCTGGTCACTCTTTCATATTTCTTAGATGTCCCAGGAATTTGGCCAGCTTGCTAAAGGGAGTGGGAAAGGACCGTTTTGAGCCCTGAGCATTCATTAAGTTGCTGGTGTTGGTACAGAAAATGGAGCTGTTTGTCATTGGTCTTCTGAGGGGCCCAGTGGGTCTGGGGGTGGACGGGGGACTGGCCTATATGTGTGACACGGATGTCATGATTTAAAGGAGGTGACTGAGAAATGAGTAGAGCAGGACATGGGGAGCTTTTTGTTCAATAGAGAGTTGTGTTTTGTGGTGGTTTAGGTCCAGAAGTTTTTTGTTTTGTTTTGTTTTGAAATGGCTGTTGTGAATTGAGAAAATGATGACTTTTGAGTTCAGAGGGAGTCGATGGAGAGACATTGAGGGTTCTGAAATCATCTTAGATTCAAATTTTGAAAGGAACAACACTCTGATTTGCTCATTAGAACATGACACGAGATCACGATAAGTGACAGGGAGCCAGAGTTTTCCTCAGAGGGGCCTCCACAGGCTGTTAGAGAATAGTCTCCAGGACCAAATGTGCCCAGGCCTCAGCCTCTAATCTCCAGATACCTAATTTATAGCCTGTTTATCTGTGTAATCCCCTGGCCAGGTGCTTATGAGGGGGCTTCCTGGTCCACTTAGGCTCCCTCTATAAGGAGTTTTAGTATATTTCTCTGTCAACAGCATGGGTTAAACCTCATTGCATGTGAAGGCTTTCTTACACCCCAACAGGGTCACACAAAGTACAGCTTCAGAGGAGGCAGCTGGAAGGAAAGGGGGAGCCAAAAGGGGAGGGAGGAAGTTAACTCTTGACTCTCCCATTTCTGCATTTCTTCAGAAACCGCCTTGTGTCTGATGGTCTGGGATTAGCATCTCCTGTTCATTACTGCTCATAAAATCGTCGACGTTTATTGCTTATTTTTCCTTACCTTCAAATACCGAACGGGGAGGATATGAAGTTGAATAATTACCAGGAAGACATTAAAGTAGAAGAATCTCAATTCATTCTGGACATTTGGCTCATGTATTCATGTCCAAAGGTTGGGAGGTGGAAGTATTGGGGGCGGGGGTATCACTCTGTATCCTCTTCAGAGCACTCCTGCCTCGATTGCTTCATGAAGGGCCTCAAAATCGCAGCTTTGAAATGTCATGTTTGTATTGTACATGGAAAATGTTTTTTACGTGATTCATATCACTGAATTTCTACCCTGTGTCCCCAGTCAGTTCCTTCCCTGATAATCAAAACATGTTACATTCTAATGCGGCTTTGTTTCCCAAATGCCTTGTTTAACCCAGAAAGTGAGTCTTCATTATGTTGACCACAAAAATTCAGTTCTTAAAAATCCAGATTTTCCACGCATCTGGATGAATGATGTCATGTAGTTAGACCCAAATATTGGCATCTGGAACTGAATATTTTTTGTTTCCGTTAAATATTTGGCATCATCAGAACAACAGCTTAAATGTTTCTTATCACAGTGACACCTGCCACATTTGGCTTAAAGAAAGCCATCCCCAATTGTCTCGTGAGAAAGTGTGCTGATGGAGTTTCCTTTTTAATCATTTTTTTAAATATCCCAACATAAAAAAACTATGTTCTCTAAATACTTTAATTCAAAGGTATAAGCAAACTTTTATTTTTAAAGAGTTGTTTTCTAGAAAACAAATAAACTTTTAAACAGAAACATTAAAACACTAATAGTTCACTTTTGAGATAAGCTTGTCTTTGAAAGAACATTCCTTTCAGAGGGGAATTTTTAGAAGGAATTTTATTTATTTTTTAGAAGGAATTTTGAAGGACGTAATTTGAATATGAGTAAGTTCTCAGGCAAGCTTGCATTTTTCTATATCAATACTTTTGTTAGTGATAGATGTAACTTATGCTAAGCAAATTCTGGGGAAGTTTTCTGGGAAATGAAAGTTTTGTTTTCTACTTACTTAAAAGAAAATTTATTTTATAAACAGACATTTGAGTCTTAAGAATACAGAAAATGGCCTGCATTAAAAAGTACTCAGTGCCTTCCTCCCAGTGATTTGTTCCCGGTGGAGTGTTCATTCCTGAAACAAAACCTGTAGAAGAATGATTAGATATGGCCTCTGTTTTACCTAGTAGGGAGAACTTGAATCGATGCACAGACTTGTTTTTAGTAGGCAGTTTTTAGTTTTTCATATGATCTTTTTTTAAAAAGAGAGCTCTTTGATTATCTGTTACTACAGTTTGTTGAGCATTGTCTGTGTACTAAATCCCCCTTGTCCAGTTCAATTTTTATAACCAAGGAAACCGGATGGATATAATTACTTCCTCTGCATGGATGTGATACCTGAGCCCTAAAGATTAACTTGACCTTGAGATCTCCAAGGTCATACAGTAGAAAGAAGTGGAACACGGTTATGTCCATGGTTCTGTCTCACTCCAATGTCTTTGCACCATTGCCTCCTGAAATGGGGGCAATGGGGTGGGCGGGGTGGGGGTAGGGCATTGTTCTCCAGAGATGCACAAAGATTCACAATGCACAGGAATGCTACTGGCAGATTCCTTGATTTTAATCTGAGATTGTACTAAAATATAATCTTTAGTGTTTACCTAAAATAACTGAAAACAAAATGTGTAGAAAAATATATAGTTATTCACTGTAGGCAAAAAGTCGAAGCAGTTCTGGTGTCCATTGACAGATAAGTAGAGAAACAGAATATGGTAAGTGCCAGAGTGATAGTATATCAAGTAGGGCATTTGCCTTGCACACAGTCACCCAGGTTTGATCTCCAGCATCCCATATGTTCTCTTGAGTGTGCTATCCTTAGTTAAAAGTCAGTAGTAAGCCCTGAGCACAGCCAAGTGTATCCCCAAAACAAAACAAAAAGAACACAAAACCCAGAATATGGTACTTTTATTGCACTATGGGCATACCATTTTTAAGTGGTTGGCATGTCTTATTTTACGCTTAAAAAAAATGGGGCATTGTACACCATGAATAAACCTTGAAGAGATTATGTTATACTAAATATACCAATCACAGAAATCCAAATGCCATGATTTCAAGGAACCTGATACAACCAGATTTATTGAGACTGCGAACAAATTGGAGGTGACAGAGGCTTGAGGGAGGATGGGCTGGTGAGTTCTTGTTTAATGGGTACAGAGTTCCAATTCTGTAAGATGAAAGAAGTCTGGAAATGGATGGTGAAATCGTTATAAGAAAATGTGAATAGTTGGGGGCTAGAGCAATAGTACAGCGGGGAGGGTATTTGCCTTGCACATGGCCAACCCGGGTTTGGTTCCCAGCATCCCATGTGGCCCCCTGAGTACCACCAGGAGTAATTCCTGAGTGCAGAGCCAGGAGTAACCCCTGAGCGTTGACTGGTGTGACCCAAAAAGCAAAAAAAAAAAAAGTGCAAATGGATGAATTTCACTCAACTGTACACTAAAAAGTGGTTAAGAATAACTTTATATCTTGTTTATTTCATCAAAATTTTAAAAACGATTCTTGGGAAACTATATGCAGTGTCAGAGATCAAACCAGAGTCTGCTGTATGCAAAGTGAGCACCTTAAGCACTGAACTATCTCTCTAGCCCAGGAACCTAAAATTCTGTAAAACAGTCTATATATATATATATATATATATTTGGTTTTTGAATTCTTATTGTATACTGACCTCTCCACAGATTCTCACACCTAGCACATAGCAGGGTGGCTAGTGTCTATAGGATGAATTTCAATGAAATACAAGGAAATCTTAAAAATCATGACTTTTTCATCTTCCAGTCATGATTCATGTTAATTGTGAAAAGTGCAGATGGGGAAAATAATTTTTAAAAAATCTCTTGTAGTCCTACTATTAACATTTTTGTATAAATCTATTCAGACTCTTCATATGCATACAGTTACATTGCTAAAATGAGATCATATTATATACTCTGCTTAGTAACCTGCTGTTTCTCCCCCTTAACAATATATTATGGCCTTCTTTCCATGTAAATTGGAAAAAATTGAATATTGGCTTTTATTGCACCTATTCATCATCTGTAATGATTGGTAGGGAAAGATAACATGTATAATTGAAAGCCATTTTTCCTCCTCCTTCTCTTCCAGTCTGTGTTTTCCTCCAGAGAATTCCTCTTTGCCGAGACAGAACTGCCTTCTCTTTCGCCTTGCCTTGAGCTAGTTTTTGTTCAAACTGCCTTCCAGTTGGATTGTCTGTCTCATCCCAGTGTTGGCTCCTTTGAGCGTTCCTGCCAACTTATCTGCCTCGTTCCTCTGCCTCCCTTGTCTGTTGCCATCATTATTTGCTGTTGGTTGTCTTAGTCTTTCTCCTCCCTCCTTCTCTGTTCTGTAACTCATTGCTAACATGGTGAAGCCTTTCAAAGTCCCTTCTGCTCTGAGAAACCACCACCACCTGCCCCCAGTTCATTTTTCAATATTGTCTCATGACAGTCGATAATAACATATAGAAAAGTCTGTAGGGCATTGAATATTTACTCCACTTTGGACCCTATTAATGTTCCCCACACACCCACTGAATGATCTAATATAATAGAGAACATGCTATGATCTCAAATAGCAAAAAGCCAATGGCCATTTCAATGGCATC